GGGGCTGGGGGAGCACAGGAGACACTGCGAGTGACGTAATGCGGCGCCCCGAGGAGAACGCACAGCACTGAGCCGTGCGGGGGCGGGAGCAGCGAAAAGCAGTGAAAGGGACGCTGCAGCGTGACCACCTGAGGCCAGGTGGCCGGGGGCGGGGTAGGGCGGGAGCAGTAGAGCGTCCCAGGCGCCCGCGGGCTGCGGGGCGGACCAGCGACGTGGAAGAGAGGAGGGGCACCCAGAAGCGGCGACGCGACCGGACCGCTCAGCAGAGGGGACGTTGGCCGCCCAGGGCAGCCAGTGGGCAATTGACTGGGCAGAGAGCAGGAGCGGGGCGGAACAGCACCGCTACAGGAAGAGACGGGCGGAGCCGCCGCAGAGAGGGGGGACACCGACGGTAAGCTGGGTAGCAAAGCAGGGCGGCGCACGCGCGGGCGAGCATGGCGCGACGGAGGAGCACCGAAGTGGCGCAAGAGACGGTGAACGGGCGACGCGCCTCCCTCCGGGGAGGTGCGACGCGAGGGGGCGGGGGGCGCCGGGAGGTGTGGGGAACGCTGGGCGGCCCAAAGGGCGGTGCAGCGTGGTGGGGCAGAGAAGCGCCGCAATGGCGCCGGGGCTGGGGGAGAGTGGCGCGCGTCCCGCGCGGGAGGTGCGCCGCGAGAGGGCGGCGGCAGGGCGCCCCGCGAGGCGTAGAAGCCAGGTGCCGAACGCAAGACCCGATGGGCGGTCCAGCGGGGAGCGACAGAAAAGCACAGAAGTGGTGCGGGGGACTGAGACTGAGCGACGCGCGTCCCGCCCGGGAGGTACGTCGCGGCGAGCGGCAAGGGAAGTGTCGAAGACAGCGAAAGCCGAGTGGCGACGCTGGACGGCGCAGTGGACGGCGTAACGGGGCAAAGCAGTGAAGCGCCGAAATGGCGCGGGGAACAGGGTGAGAGCGACATGCGTCCTGCCCGGGAGGCAGGCCGCGGGGGGGTAGCGGCGGTGGGCGCCAGGAGGTGCGGAAGCCGCGTACGGATGCTGCGCGACCCAATGAGCGGCCCAGCGTGCGCAGCAGAGGCACCGAAATGGTGCAAGGGCTGTATGTGCGCGACGCGCCTCCCACCCGGGAGGTACGACGCCAGGAGGAGGGGAGAGGAGGAGGGAGGGCCATGTGTGGAGTGGTGCGATGCCCGTGGGCAGCGCGCCCCATAGAGGTACCAAGTGCAGCGGGTAGCGGTGGCTGCAGCAGGTGCTCAGCGCCGGGGGCGGGCACCAGGGGTGTCGTCCCAGGCCGCGTCGAAGCGGCGCTTGCCATGCTTGCCGCCTTTGTCGCGCCCTTTGCCGTGCTCGGCGGCGTCGCGCTCCCGCGTCTCCTTCCTGCGAGTGTTCTCGGCTCGCTGGTTGCGCCGGACCTGGGCCCAGTCCACCTGGGTGCCTTCCCACCAGCAGTATTTCTTGCTGTCGAAGTTCCAGTGCCACAGATCGGCCATGGACTCCCAGCAAAAGTCATCGCTGACCAGCGGGTTGTACTTCCTTTTGCCGACGCCCTTGTAGCCGCGCACCTCGCATGCGCGCTTCCAACCTTCGACGGAGTAAGAGCAGTCGTCGATCTGGAGACGGCTGACGACGGCGCCTTAGTTCCCCAGGCCGCCTGGGGTGTGCATGCGCTTCGAAACGAGGCGGGACCGCGGCGGTATCCAGGTCGAGCCAGGCTCGGTCAATTCATTCGTCGGGCCAGTCCGTGTCCGGCATGCTGTCCATGCGCCTGTCGATTTCGCGCCCGGCGCTGGCCGCGGCCCGCCTTGCCTCTTCTTGATGACCCACGCGCGGTGCGCTGCGTCGGCAGCGTCCCAGACGACAGTCCGGGCCTGCTTACGCAGAGGAGACCAGACTTCCCGAGCAGGGTGAGGGCGCCAGGGTAGCGCGCCTCTTCGACTGGGCTGGCGATGGGCCCTGGATCAGTGGCGGGGGTGAGCAGGGTTCCCTTCTCGCCGGGGCTGGTTGTCCACGCCAATGGCGCGGCGGAGAGATCATCGCGCGCAGTGGCGAAGTCTCCCGGGGCCAGGTCCAGCATGCTGCCTGAGAGCGCCCTGGGCGGGGGGCCGAGGTTTAGGAGCGGGGTGCCTCTGCGGGCTGCGGCGTTGGCTTCGCTTTCGCTGTCAGACCAGTCCGGCTCACCCTTCTCAGGTGCGCCGTGCTCGGCCGGGCGGCGCGGCTCAACGGGTGCGGCATCGGCGTGGGCTGTTTCGCCCTGACCGGCTGCCCAGAGCGCAGTTGGTGCGTTGCTGCCGTCGGCGGGGTCAGCCTCCCTGGCGGGGTCTCTATCTAGCGCCCCGCGCGGTGCTGACGCCGGGCCCCCCTTCGCCTCTCGCGCTGGTCGTGGGGGCCGCTGGGCGCGAGGAGTCTGCGCGAGGTGGGTGGTTGGCGACGTGGGTGGGTGCTGCGGGGCGGGGCAGCTCGGGCGTGCTGGCGGTATTTGGCGGGGGGCTGGGTGGGGGCCCCGGCGCCGTTGTCTCCTCGGCTGCCCCCCCTTGGTCTGGGAGCGATTGCAGCCTGGCGGCTGGTGCTGGCACGGTGCTTGTTGGCTGGGGCAGTGTAGTGTGCCGGCGGCGCGGAGTCCAAAGTGCGGGTTCCGTGGGTGGCCAAAATTCGGGTGAGTGCCCGCTCGCTGTGCGCCAGAGGGCTTGCGCTGTGAAAGGCAGAGTCATTGCTGGGGAAGTTGGGCCAGGAAAGCCGAATGTTGTCCAGGCCTTCGACACCCCGATTCCATTTCTTCCCGGCGAGGTGGTTGACAATGTGGGCGAGGGCCGCCCTCCCGCCGTTCCAAGGGGAGCGCTCGGGGGCGCCGTCCGCCAGGACATCGTCCAGGTAGATCGTGGCCAGGAGGTCGCGACGGTCTGCCTCGGTGTCTCTTTAGCTTGCATCGCCCCCGCTCTTGCGCGATCCCTTCGTGGACCTGCAGCAGGAACGTCACCGTGTCCTTCGCGATGGTGCCGGCGTGGCCGCGCTCAGCCGGGCGACCTCTCGCGCTGTGAGATCGGGGCAGCGCGGTGGTGGCAGATGAACCAGACCGCAGAGTGCATCTTGTGGCCTGCAGGCGGGCCGCATGGCCGGGGCGACGGCTTTGACCGTGGTGCGCAAGGTGTGGGGTTGAGTTCCGAGTTGGAAGTCGCCCTCTTGTATGTTCGGGCAGCCATCGAAATCCGACCTGCTGAGGCCCTCGGCGAAACTGAGGAGGACCTTGTAAGGGGAGCGGCGCTGGGAGCTTTCCAAAACCTTCAGCTGTGCCGGGACCGAGCTCGTTCCACTTGACAGTTGCCTGCGGGTTCTTGCTCACGACCAATTCTACCATGTGCGCCAGCATATGTTGCCTAGCTGTAGCTGCCCATGTCCACTCCAGTAGGCTGTCGGGGCCGTCTGGTGAGGGCCTCCAGGCTTTCCAGCGGGTTTCCAGGAAATTCTGCGGTATGTTAGCGTCCATGTCTGCGGGGGCCATCGAGCCTTGCTTGACCTCGTCAGTGCGGAAATTGACCCACCTTCGACTCTGCATTCCCGCGCGCACTCGGGGAGTGGCAGAGCCGGGCAGGTCGCTGGCATTGGTGGAATCCATGGTTCGGTGCTGTGATCTGGGCCAGGTCCGCCGCCACGTGTCCATCGGTTGGTTCCCCTTGACTGGGGGGAGCCTGCGGCCGGGTCACTCTGCCAGGAGGCGGCCTGCCCACTGGCCAGCTGTGGCCACTCAGGAGTGGTCCTGCGGTCCCTCCTCAGTGGCTCGCTCCAGCGGGGGTCGGTGGTCGGAGCGGGACCGAGTCCCCGCTTGCGTCCCTGAGTCGCTGGTGCTCTTTCGGAGGCGGGCGGCCCTGGCCTCAAGTGATCCCTGCGATTCATCGCGTCCGTGGTCGGTGTGGGCGCTATTGGGGCGCGCGTCGCACCGGGCGCGGGCTCTGCCACGCGGCGGAGACCTTGTTCTGTCACGGGCCGCTTTTCGGTGCCTCCCTGCCGCGTCGAGCCAGGACTGCCGCGCGTGACGGAGCGTGCCGACAGCGCGTGCTTGCTTGTCCCTGGTGGTAGTGCGCGGTGCCCCGGTGTGGGTGGTGCCCATGACGGCAGCAGCAGCGACGTCCGCTTGTCCCAGGAGTTGCTCGACTCGGTGCCGGTCGTTTTCGGCGAACAAGCCCAAGACATCGCGTGCGCACATGGCGGCCATGTCGAGGAGTCTCTGCTCGACTGGGTCTCGCGCCTGGTGCACGTTCGCTGGGGGGCTCCGTGGCTGCATGGCGGAGCGGGTTGCGGGCAGGGAGGGCCGGTGGGGGCGGCAGCGCACCGAGCTGCGGGTTGACTGGGTAGACCAGTGTGCCATCGCGCTGCAGGATCTCCACTGCGTCGGAGGGCCGGGCGTCCCAGAGGTCCAGAGGTGTACTGCCGTTCCAGCGCTTGGCTTGGAATTTTTGGAGCCAGTGCGGTACGCCGGGAGGCCCATGAACACAGCGGTACCCCCGCTGAAGTGGTAGCCTTAGGGCGGGACGCGAACATGCCGAGAGGGGTTTCAAGGATCTTCCGGCGAAGCACCGGCCAGGCGGAGGGGCAGCAGGACTGTCAGAACACGGCCCCGGTTGAAAAGCCGGTCCTGGGGTTGTCTGGCTCTTTTGAGGCGGCCTTCGTGTCTTCGGGGTTCTTGGCTCGTCGTGGTGCCGTCTTGTAGAGCTGTTGGGGCCATCTTGGGCACGTTTTCAAGCCCATCCTAAGCTGAACAGCGTCGCAGTCTCAAACCGCCGTGAAAGTCCTTTGGTTCTTCGATGCGTTTCGCCTGTCAGGGCCTTGCGGGCGGGCCTCCTTGAGCGCCTCGAGGCGGCTTCGTGGGGCCCCATTAGGACCCCAAGGTGCCATTTTGAGGCCTTTGAGGGGCCTGCGGGCTTTCGTGCGCTGGTGTTGGGGCCGTCCCATCTGGGAATCCTTAGGAATTCCTAGGAACCCTTAGGAATTCCTAGGAATCCTTAGGAATTCCTAGGAATCCTGAGGAATTCCTAGGAATCCTTCGGAATTCCTAATCCTTGGTCTGGAGGCTGTCTTGGGGTTCTCTTGGGGCGGCCTCGGGGACAGAGCGTCAGACCCGTCAGAGGGAGGGAGGCGGAGCCTGACCCGCTGGCTCTGGGTCGTCGCAGCGTGTGCTGCCACCCATCGCCCCGCCGCTGCCGCCATGCACGCCCTGAAGGGGCGCCCGGACGACGAGACCACCTTCAGGTACGCGGCGGTCGATGCGTTCGACCGCGGCGCGTGCCGGGTGCAGAACTGGATCGACGAGCCGGGCCCGTTCCCGCCCGAGCCGGGCCGCTACCACGTGTTCGTGAACTACGGTTGCGGCTGGTGCCACCAATTCCGGGTGTTGCCAGAGGTGGCCCTGGCGCGAGGTGGCCCCAGCTTTCCCAGGGAGGCACCGATGTCTCCAGAGAGCCCTTCACGACGCCCAGAGGGCCCCATCGTTCCAATGTGGGGCGAACAGCTGGGGACACACTGGGCCATGACCACCGCTGGCAGTGCCTGACAATTGCTGCTGGTGCTGCGCCTGCGGGGGCTCCACGGGGCGGGCGGCGTCGGCGTGACTCACAGCGGCTGCCGGCGTGTGGGTCAGCGGGGCACGGCGGAGTACAAGGGCTTTCTCCTGCTTCCAGATCGGGAGCGTCGAGGAGGGGGTGAGGACCAGTGGTGTCTGGATCTCACGCCCAGGGCCACAAGATCTCCCAGGCTGGGCCTCTTTTCTCCTCTCAGCTCGCCCCCTGGCCCCCGCCTCGTCCGCGCACACGCCTCGGACCGTGATGTGCTGACCCCTCCCTTCCCGGCCCCCATCTTCGGCGCCCCCAGGCCAGAGGCCGACACGACTGGAATGTTGCGATTCACCGGAATGGCGGACGTGTACAATGCGGGGCCCTGCACCGCCACTGGCCCCGGCGAGGCGAGCCGCGGCGTGGTGGGCGGGTACGGGACCGAGCAGCTCACCGTGCCCGTGCTCTTCGACGTGGCCTCCAGGACGGTGGTCTCCAACGACCCCGCCCAGATGCTCCTCATGCTCGACTTCTGGGCGGACAGGCTTCGGGGGCCAGGGGGCGTCGACGTTCTGGGCGGGCGGTCTCTCTATCCGGAGGCGCTCCGCGATGAGATCGAGATGGTGAACGCGACGGTGTACCCGGGCGTCAACAACGGAGTGTATTGCTGCTGGTTCACAAAGGACGAGCACTCCCCCGCGTTCCAGGAGGGCTTCGGCCTCGTACAGCGCGCGTTGACGTGGCTGAACGCGCGGCTGGCAGAGAAGACGTATCTGTGCGGCGACCACGTCTCGCTCGCAGACGTTCGCGCATTTCCGCACCTGTACCGCTTCGACTGTATTTACTACCAGCTCATGCTGCGGGAGAAAGGGCTCCGGATTTTCTCGGGGGACGAGCCTCTCCCGCACCTCGCGCGTTGGCTGCGCGACACCATGTTGGGACCAGGCGCTGAGCATTCGGCCGCGGTGCGCGAGAGCTGCGACCTGCAGGTTGCAACGCGGTTCTACTTCAGCTCCCTTCCGAGCGAGGAGGCGGACGCCCTGTACGATCGACGTAACGCAGAGGCGAGCGGCATCTTTCCAAGCCGCGAAGAGTGGGTTGCGAAACGACAGAAAGAAGGATTTATCGAACCTGAGCAGGTGACTGGCCATAACGGCTAGGTCTTGAGCCAATCGCAGCAAATTATTATTTAACCATCTTTTTCTTTCTCTTGGCACTCTCCCCACACGAGTAATTAGCCAGCTGCCTGCGGCGAGTCCCGGCACCGTGCCAGCGCGGCATCATGTGTGTGGACGTTTCGCGCACCGCCCAGAAGGCCGTAACATGCGACATCTTTCGTCCCTATTCCTCGAGAGGATCTCGTGGGGGCCACCTGAGCCGTCTTGGGGCTGTCTTGGACTCCCGTGGGGCCTCCCGGGGCCTTCTCATGGCCCTCTTGGGCCATCTTGGGGCTCTTTTGGGCCGTCTTGGTGTCGTGATGGGCCGTGTTGGGCCCCACTCGTCCGCCTGGGGGTCTCTTGGGTTTGTCTTGGGGACCTCTTGGGGTCCTCCTGGGCTGTCTAGGGGCCCTCTTGGGTTGTCCTGGGCCCCCCTTGGGCCTGTCTTCGGGCCCTCTTGGGGCTGTTCTGGGCCGCATAGGGGGGGCTTCCTGGCCCTCCTCCAGGCTCCTCTGGCTTACCTTTGGCTTCTCCGAGGCTCTCTTGGAACCTTCTTGAGCCGAGGGGTCCTGGAACCACAGACAGATCAACAACCTGAGGGGCCCCAGAACCTCTTGCACGATTTCGGCTTTCCCAGAGGTCAGTCGGCATTTTCTTTTGTGTCCTGGAAGCCTCTCGGGGCCACTTTGGTGCATCTTGGAGTTTTATTGGGGGCTCTTGGTTGCCTCCTCTGGAGGCAACCTGGAGCAATCTTGGCGGCCTTCCTGGCCCGCCTCGGAAGCCGTGGAGAGCGCTCGGGGACCCGGGGAGACGCAGCTCCGCTCAGGGAGCCTGGGGAGGGGGGGGAGATGAACGCAACGGAACGCTGCGAGAGGGGGAATAGCAAGGGCGCCCTCGAGGGCGCGAAGTTGTTCGCGCTTCGCGCTTCGCGGTCCGGCCCCGATTCCTCCTCATCCTCCCCGTCTCCCCTGGGAGGCGGCGTGCGAGCGCGAAGTTATTCGCACGTCGCGCTGCGCGCAGCGCGAAGCGCGAAGTTGGAAGCCCCTGGAATAGGGGAGGGGCCCTCCAGCAGCATTGCGCCGACCCTCCCCGCCCTGGCGGCACGCAGGCCGCAGGGCGCGAGGCAGAGGAGAGAGACGTAGACTGCCAGGGTGCCCTCTCCCCCTGTCGCCTCGCCGTTCGTTCCCGCTCCGTGCTCCTGTCCTCCTCGTCCTCGTCCTCGTCCTCGTCCTCGTCGTCGTCGCCGCCGCCGCCGCCGCCGCTGCCGCCGCCGTCTCGGTCGTCGTCGTCGTCGTCGTCGTCGTCGTCGTCGTCGTCGTCGTCGTCGTCGTACCAGACAGCACTTAGCATTCTACTGCGCCTCGACGTGCCAGGGTTCACTGTGGCGGACCCAGGTGCGCTTCTGCGAATACGCGCCGCCGCGCTCGGGGACGTTGCGGAGCCGACGCTGCAGCGTGTGCATGACCACGGCATTGCAGGGTGACGCATCTTCGGGGGATTTACCAGCCTGAAACATATCCCTATCCCTATACTTGGGATCGCCTTATTTCGATGCCGATCTTGAGGATTCCTGCAGTTTCTCAGGGTGCATCCCTAAGATTGCCATCGTCTTCAAGCTTGTCAGCCTTAGGGATAGGGATAAGCTCGGGGCGGTTAGGGATGTTTCGGAGCGCCTTCTTGGGGGGGCCTCTTTCAGAATCTTGGGAATCCTTCGGGCAGTCTCGGGGGGTCTTGGTTCTTGGGGCCGTCCAGTCTTGGGGCCGTCCTGGGGCTGATCTTGGGCCAGGCCTTGGAGCCGCCTTGGGGGGTCTTGCGGCCGTCCTGGGGTCCTTGTGGGCCGCCAGGGTGCGGTCTGGAGCGGGAGATGAGCGGGGAGATGCCGCAGATATGAAGGAGGGGAGGGGGGGAAAGGGAGCGGCAGGGAGAGGCAGGTGAGGGCGAGGCGTGGGAGGGAGGAGAGGCAGGAAAGGCAGGGGCAGCTGCGAGAGGGGGGACAGGCAGGCGAGAGGCGGGGGAGGAGGGAGGAGGGGAGGGGAGGGGAGAGGGGGAGAAGGGAGGAGAGGGGAGGAGAGAGGAGAGAGGAGGGAGGGGGGTAGGAGGAGGGAGGAGGGAGAGGGGAGAGGGGAAGAGGGAGCGTGGCGACGGGGGTGGGGCGGCGTGCGCCACACTTCGCCCCGGGCCGGCAGGTGGTGCCGTCCAACAGCCCCTCGCCGCTGCCCACGGCGCGGCCGCTCGCGGTGGCTGCCGCTCCCCTTCCCCCCTTCCTCCTGCCTACGATCTTGAAGATAGGGGAACAAAAAGTGGAATAAACATACAAACTCGGAGGTCCGCGCGGATTTCTCGGATCGGCGCTGGGGCCCCCCGGCGGCGCCTCCGGCGCCGCCCCTGGCGCGCTCCGCGCGCCAGGGAGGGGAGTCCAGCGCCGATCCGAGAAATCCGCGCGGACCTCCGAGTTTTTATGTTTATGTTTTAACACATCGGGCTTGTGTTCTAAGAACATTGTTTTTGTTCTTAGAACATTTTTGGGCTCTAAGAGCACTTCGTGGTAGGATCATAGGAATGCCAGGACGGTCGGTCCCTGCTCAACCTTCCCCCCTTCCTCCTGCCCACGATCTCGAAGAGGCATCCAAGCCAGGCATCCTCAGAGGCGGGTCGAGGAGCACGAGGTCGGCCAGGGAAGACGTGGCGGGACGCGGGTGCGAGCACGGCCAGGTGCAGCAGCGTGGCGCGCTTTTTTTTTACCGGGGATCGGGCCGTCCGGACTGAATGTGCAGCTGTCACTGAGGCGAGAGAGCGATTCTCAGGAGGGAAAGAAACACACAGACACAATCGGCGATTCCCCAGAAAATATGGGAAACTATGGGAATTGGGTGGGGAGACAAAAACCCAGAACATATGAGAAAATACGAGGAACATTTTTATTTGTGCGTATTCATTTGTGTGTCCTGGGGCCCCTTCAGATTCGCGAAGAAACTGCGAGGAAGTCTCGGGCGAAACGGCTGCACGGCCAGGCGGTCTCGGGGGCCGTCCCCGGCTTGCAGTCCCCCCTTGCGGGCCTCCTCCCTCGAAGCGCTATTCGGGACCAGCTGCATAGATATAAACTTGCGGAGCTCCGCGCGGAGGTGCCTCCGGGGCGGCCCCTGGCGCGCTTCGCGCGCCAGGGAGGGGGGGTGTCAAGCGCCGGTCCAAGAACTGCGCGCGGACCTCCCGATGTTTATGCTGTTGCCGCTTCTTCGTCCTCCACGATCCGTCAGCGGCGCTGGAGCTGGCATCCCGTTCTCTGGGGCCCACAGATGACAGCTCACGGTGTGCGATCCGCAGGAAGTCACCGAGCGCGTCCCAGTACTCGAAAAGTGCCACCTCGCAAACGTCTGAAAAAATGCATCGATGCAATGGCTCGTTGCGGATTTGCAATCGGGGGCCAATCGCCGATTTTTCGGCGATGTATCGCCGATTCCAGCTCGATGTTTGCCCCCCTGAGCTGGCCACCCCTGACGCTGCCCCTTACCTTGCCCATGATCGGCATGTCCGTGCCTCCTCGGCCTCGTCGGCGACCCTGGAGCTGGCGTCCTGCTCTGTGGGGCCCATGGAGCGGGGACGTGGGGACCAGCTTCTCGTCGCGGGCCTCTCCCTTAAAGGGCCCCCTTCGGGCCCGAGAGAGGGTGCCCCCGTGGAGGCGCCAGCGCACCAGGAACAGAGAAGTGGGCCCGCCGTGGCCTTGCGAGCTGCGGCGCTCGGCGTCGGAGGCAGGGCCACTTCGATCCAGTCGATCCAAATCGATGCTGGTTCTGGCCAGCTCCCTCCGATCCGATCCGATTCATCATCATCATCATCATCATCATCATCATCATCATCATCATCATCATCACCATCATTATTACCATCATCATTACCATCATCACCACCATCATCATCATCATCACCATCATCACCACCATCATCTTCAGCGCCACCACTGCCACCATGAGCGTCATCACGATCGGCACAACCACCATCATCAGCACCATCATCATCACCATCATCACTTTTACCATCATCATCATTCTTGCCACCACCATCTCATTATCAATTCATATGCCGACGATCCGATGCGGCCCGATGCCTGCATGGCGCTGCTGTGCATCTCGGCGCGGCCGACCCAGTTCGATTTCGACCTCGTGCCGATGTGCAGCCCGATCCGACGGACGTTTCTATTCAATCCGGCTTCCCGATTCGATGCTGGCTGACCCCGGGTCTTCAGTGTTCGATCATGGGCCCCTTGTCCTCGTTAGTCGAGGCCATCCAGCTTCCGCGCCGGAGACGGCCGAAAACCGCCGAAACCTGTCAGAAGACCGCCGAAGACCGGCAGAAGACCGCCGAAGACCGCCAGAAGATCGACGAAGACCGTCGAAGGCCATCGAATACCGCCAGGTCGAAGACCGCCGAAGATCGCCCAGGGCTGGTGGGTAACTCGTGGGCGAAAAAACATCCGTATCCGCGGCCGGGCCTCGGGGCCGCGCCCGCGTGGACACGAGGCATTTTTTTCGCGGGCCTGGAACGTATCCGTGAAACCGCCTATCCGCGGGATCGCGCTTCGGAATCCAGACCGCGAGGGCGCGGATACGGATGTGCGCGAGTAACCCGGGGTCGTTCAGTAGCAACTTGTGGGAGCCTTGTATGTCCTCGGAATTCCGTCTGGAGGGTGCATGAGCGTGCGGTAGCGTCTGGTAATCCATGAGAAGGCGGCGACTTAGCGTCGATTAGCGTCGACGTAGCTTCTGTTGCTAAGGCCTTACGGCTTAGCTTCAATTCTGCGTCGACTTGCGCCGATTAGCGTCTGTCCGCGTGGACTTGCACGATCCAGCAAGATGACGTGAGAGGCTCCCATGTCGGCGGCAAGCCCGGGGGGGAAGTGAGAAAGGGCGGGCCCTCTCAGAAGGTTCGGATGGCCTCGGGCCGTCTGAGAAGTTGTCTGTGAGCCTTCCCCGAAAACGCAGAAAACTTCCCCGAAGGCCGGGGGGTCCTCTGCTGAGAAGCCCCGCCGCCTCCTGAGAAGGCCTGCCCCCTCTCACTTCCCCCCCGGGCGCGCCGCCGACCATTTTTTTTGAGGGGGGGGAGGGGGAAACACCGCTGCTCCCCAGGCCTCTCCCAGGGTGTCTTCTGACCAGAATTTCGAGGCGAACCCAGCGGTGGCGACGAGGGCCTCGCAGGAGGCCCCAAGAAAAGGCGAAGCCGAGGGCAGGGCAGCGGCAGGGGCACTTCTTCCTCCTCCCAGGGCTGCCACAGAAGGGGCCGCGGCCGGAGACGCAGCGGGCCTTCTCGGCGGCGGCCCGTCCGAGCGCCGGCCCGTCCGAGCCGCCGCGCCGGGCGGGGCGCCCGCCGCGCCCGCCGCCCGCCCGCCGCGCGCGGGCGGCAGGCGCGCGCGCGCGGGCTGCCCCCCGCGGGCGCCATGTGGCGCCTCGCCGGGCGGCCGGCGCCGGGGGGCGAGCACGCCGCGGGCCCGGGCCGCGAGCCCTCCTTCCTGGAAGCGCTGCGGGAGCGGGGGCGCGGCCCCGCCTCTCTGCTCCGGGGGGCAGCGCTCGAGGGGGTGGGCGGGCGGGCGAGGGGGGGAAGCGAGAGGGGGACAGGCCGTCTCGGGAGGCGGCGGAGCTGCTCCGAGGCCCCCCCCGGCCTCCGGGGAGAAGGTTCTGTGCTATGTGCGCATGCGGGGACGGCCCATAGACCACCCTTCACAGGCGGCCTGAGACCTGCCGAGCCTGCGGAGCAGGCTCGCCTTGCCTCGCTTCCCCTCCAGGCTCGCCGCCGCGGTCGGGGGGGGCTCCTCACGAGCTTCCCGTGTGCTGTGCAGTAGGAGCTCGACCACCAGAGACCTCCGTCCAGAAGCCCAGCCCTGAGACCCCAGGACGTCCGTGCATCTTTGGTGCGGGAAAGTCGCGCCCTCCATCGCAAGGCCGCCGAAGCCCAAGCCAGGTAGGGCGCAGGGGCTCGGGCGCGACGAGGAGGACGCGCGCACGTGCGCACGAGTGCGCGCCGGTTTGTCGCGGAGGGGGCGCGCTGCGCGGGCGCTCGCGGCCCACGAGGCCGGCCTCGCGGGCTGGGGCCGGTGTTCGTGTAGGCGCGGCTGGGCGCGTGCGTCTCTTCTGGGCTCTCCCCCAGGGTTGTGATGTTCCAGCCTACTTTAGCCTGGATCACCAGACAGAATGTCGAGCGCCAGAGAGAGTACCGAAACTCAAGGGGTTTCATGTGTCGGGCCCTGGGAGGCACTCGCCCGACACTGTTTCGACACTCTTTTGACACTTTTCCGGGTGCTCGAAATTATTTCTGGGATGTGGTCCGTTAATAGGATGGGAACAACAGAACCCAAGGGGAGGATGCCTCGGCCCCCAGTCGCCCATTGATGGCTGGGATCGGGGAGGGTCTGATAGCCCTGCTCCGCCCAGGGAAGCGCGGATTCGCCATCGGGGGCCCATCGCCGATCTGTCGGCGGTGTGTCGCCGATTGCAGCTCGAGGCTTCCCCTCCGGAGCTAGCACCCCCCCTCAC